CACACACACACACAACTTTATCTTCCTACATCCAGACTCTTAATTTGTTTGCTATTGAATGAGATGACATTCCCGTTTGCAGCCCCAGATATTTGGCACAGGCTACAAAAACTTCAGATGGGTCCACAGACACCTATGGCTCAACTGCTGGACATGGCCTTTTCTGTGTTCAGCAATCTAGACTCAGAAGAGGGACATGGCTCATGGGTGAGCCAATTCAACTGATTACTAATACAGGGGTGGCTCCATTCTATTTTGATTTCCTTCTCTGGAAAACTCTCCTCTAAGTCTATAGCCATAGTGTGAGTTAAGAGGACCCCTAACTGGAAATTCCTTACTTCTCTGCCCAAAGTTAGCCACTCCTGTGAATAAGTAACCTCCTGGACTTATGCAAGTACCCAGAATATCAATGACATGCCCCTCCAAGATCCTGAGGAGGTGTGGTTCACTGATGGAACTAGCTTCATCCAAAAAAGACATCAAAAGACAGGTTATGCAATTGTCAACTCACAATAGACCCCTGAAGCCAAACTTCTTCCTCTAAGAACCTCTGCTCAAAAGGCAGAGGTAAGAGCTCTTACTTCAGTAATGATGTTAGAAGAAGGAGAAGGTTAAACATCTATACTAATTCCATTATATGCCTTTCTGGTGCTACACACTCATGCAGCACTCTGTAAGGAATGGGCTTTACTGACTACCAATTGTCTATATAAAACACAGGAAGGAAATTCTCCAACTCCTGCAACTCCATCTTCCCAATCAGGTCATGGTCATGCACTGTAAAGAGCATCAAAGAGACATGTCTGAAGTCTCACTGGGAAATAAAAAGGCTAACAAGGAAGCAAAAAGGGCAGCCCTAACACCCCTTAAGGCCCTAGCCTTATTCCCACTTCTGAGGAACTACTAAAACCAGTCTATATTTCTCAGGAAGATAAAGTGGGAATTAAAAAGGAACTTGTGGTATTTAGGAAAAAAACTGGTTGTTCTTCAAGGGACACAATGGAAGTATATAAAAACACTTCATAATTTTTTCTAGAATGCTAAATTGGAAATGGTCATTTGAGTTTTCACAGGACTAGAACAAGCAGTAACTACCTGTGCCTATAATAACCCAGGCACACCCAAACCTCCTTTATTAGAACCTGTACAGAAGAGAGGGACATATCCTGGAGAGGACTGACAATTACTTTACCAATATGCCACTATGTGAAGGATTTAAAGAGATGCTGGTCCTAACCGAACAACACGCTGGACTGAAGCCTACCCTACCCATTCAGAAAAAGCTACTAAGGTTGTCACAGTGCTTCTTTAAGAAATCATCACCCGATTTGGGCTACCCTAGTCTCTTCAGAGTGACAATGAATTTCTTTTACCTCTCAACTCAGGGATTGGCAAAGGCTTTAGGAATAAAGTACTATCTCCATTTCACTTGGTGGTCTTAGTCTTCTGGAAAGGTAGAGAGAGCCAATCAGAGCTTGAAGAGTGGTCTGGCAAAACTGTGCCTAGAGATATCTGAGTCCTGGCTGTGATTGCTGCCAATAGTGCTCATAAGATTTGTTACATGCCCCAGACTGGGCTAAGTCTTAGCCCATTTGAGATACGATATGTGAGGTCATGTCTATCCTCTGATGTTAGTTGACCCAGAGACCACACACTTGTATAATATATCATCAGGGCCAAGTAAAACAAGCTACCCAAATGTATAGGAATAGAGTCCTCCTGACCCAAGGGAACCACCTAATATCTACACTGGAGACCAAGTGCTCATAAAAACTTGGAGAGAACACCTACTGATTAACAAAAGCCAAGGTACATTCAGCTATAGGATCTTCGACAATGTGGGGGAAAAAATACACTTGGAAGAAAGACTCTTCACAAATTTTAAGAAAGATTCTCAGCAAATGGTGTTGGGAAAACTGGCTATCCAAGTGAAGACCAAATCTAGATCAATATATCCTACCATGTACAAAATTAAAATAAAAATGGATCAAAGGTCTAAATATTAAAATAGAAACAATTTGCTGGAAGATAACAGGCAAAACTCTTAAAGTGACAGGCATATGCAAAGAACTTTCTGAACTGATGGAGACCACCCTGAGCAAGCTACAAATTCATAAATTGGCTTCTCATATTAAAAGTCTGGGTCTGCCTGTTAGCCCACAATGGCTTGCCTGAAGAGCCAGCAGTTGGTGTGTAGGAATGAACTCCAGGGTACCTTGAAAAGAATTTGGCTATTACTTGAATGCACAATGAAGTTACTGAAGACTTCAAAATGAAAGAATGTAAGATGCAGCATATCTCAATAGTATCACTCTGGCTATTGCATTGAGTAAAAACAGAGAGAAAACAAAACAAAACAAAACAAAACTAAACAAAAACAGTGGAAGCAGGAAGACCAGTCACAAAGCTAATAATGCAAGCAAGAACTGTAGTGGCTTAGACCAACGTGAATCTGACTAGATTCTGTAGATCCAATAGGATCTGCCGAAGAAGCAGATAGCAGATGGGGAAGGGCAGACGAAAAATGAGAATGAAAGATAAATACCTATGTATTTGGCTGACTCCCCTGGAAGAACAAAGTTGTTATTAACTGATAAGGAGAAACTGAGGGAAGTACAACTATTTGATGGACCATCCAGACCTTAGTTGAGGACACATTAAGTTTGAGACCTTTGTAAGATACCAAGTAGAGATATCCAGAGGGCAGTTGAGTAAGCAGGTGGATAATCAAGACAGCAACTAAAAGGTAAGATCTGGATTGAATATTCAAATTTTGGTGCCACCCATATATAGATAATATTGGAATAAAAACCACCTAGCAAATGAATAGAGCCAAAAAAAAGAAAAGAAATTGAAAGTTGGAACCCAAGGCATAATCAACATTTGGAGAAGTAAATTGTCCTAGAAACCAAGGAAAGAAAATGTTTCAGGGAGAAGAAGGATCAACAATCTGAGTCAAATGCTTCCTTTAGTAGCACATATACCAAAATAAAGGACCACTGGTGAGAATCCTTGGATTCAGCAATGCTGGTAAGAATAATTCAGAAGACAGAGAAAAAATAACACAAAAGGGAAGGAGTGCTAGAGCAGTGAAGAGGTGAAACTAATTTAGTAGTATAGGTTTGGCCTGAGCTAGGAGCATAGTGACACTCACAAAAGACAGAGCACAATACAAGGTCACAGATGTAAGTAGCTAGGTAGATAGTGGAATATATGGAAGTTCTCTAACTGTAATATAGGAAGGAATGTGTTGAAGTCCTAGAGATTTGAAGAAAACAATGTATCTGTAAGTCATCTAGGAATATGAGACAGTAAAGGACAAAAAACCTAAAATGTGATTACTGAGTAGCATTAAAGACAATGATATTAGGGATTGTATTAGTCACCTATGCTCTGCTGAGAATAGAATAAAATGATATGCTTATCTTGACTGACCAAGGAATTTAATTTGAATAAGGAAAGGCAAAACATCAACAGGATCAAAGAGAGTGAAAAAATGATAAATTTACAAAACTGAGAGACCCAAAGTCTATTAAGAGTGATAAAAATAAGAACATGAAAAGATAAGAGGTAGTTGATGGAAGAAACTGTGAAACTGAGATAAAGGATTGGTTGTCATCTAGATAAAAATGAGGTCTAGAAATAAGTATTAAAATGGGATAAAAGGCAAAATTCATTGTGGAGGAGTTTCAGGTTTTAAGTCACCAGTTTACAGGAAGAATTATTATCCACATGCACAATGAAATCACCAAGAATTATAATATAAGCAGTACTGGAATAAATGTTTGTGAACTAAGAAACAAGATCTTTTAAGAGACAATTTATCTATAGGTTTCATGTTTCTGTACACATTTAGAGGAGAGTTACTCATTGTTTCTATTCTGGACTATATTTTCAAGTATGCTTAAAACAAACACCCTTGGAAAATAATACCTTCTTTCAAAGAAAGAGGTTTACCTTCTCCCTTAGAAGAGATAACCTCTTCCTTCCAAATAAGGGCAGATATTCTTCCTGTTCATTATAAAAGACTTGCAGTTGCCTAAGTTTGGGGTCCCTCACTTGCAGTTCAATCAACGAGATCAAGTTTTGCCTGGCCTTATCAGCCTTTTCACAACCAAGGAACCAGTGCAAGCAAATGCTGTATTTTTTTCTTTTTTATGAATAATGTTAGTAATAAAGTCCACTGTTTCTGGCCTAGATGTCTTCTGTATTCTGTCAGCATCCATCAAACTGTGGGTTTTTTTGTTTTTTGTTTTTGGGGATTTTTTGGTACCAGGGATTGAACTTGGGTCTTTTCCATCAAACTGTGGTAGGTTAACCTATCAGCTTACAAGTAGAATAAAATGTCAGATTCTTGACAGCTGCTGACAAAATCTCCAATGAATGGTAGAGGTAGAAAGAAATGACTGCAACCAAATGGGTAGGATGTGGAATAATTTGATAACATAAGATAAAATCTAGAAATGTTTTAGAACAGAGGATATTCTTGAAGAAGCAAAGCGAACAAGTTTCAGTGTCAAGGATATGAAAAAAGTAACTATGAAAGTAGATATTTGAAGTGGTTGAAGGTAGCGTCACAAAGGAAGCAAGACTCAACACAGCAAAATGTGAAGTATATTAACAAAAGAGATTAAAGAGGAAGAATTTTCTGATGAGTAACTTTGAGTGTCAGGGACATTATGAAAGATTTTTCAGGAGACAAGAAGAAGTAGGTTTTAGGGTCAGATTTGGATACACATGGTAAGAAGCTCATGAATCTTGGGCTCCTTGTAGTAACTCATGAAGAGCAGAAAAAAAAAGGCATGATGAGATTAGTTTTAATCAGATTAGTTGCCTTGCTTCTATATCCCCATTCCTCTCTAATCCCCCAATATCTACTATGGAACACTTTTATTTCTCACCAAACAAAACATCTTAGAAAATTTTGAATATAAAAGTTTTAAAGAAATCATAAATGCAAAATTGTTATTTAATACAGTAAAAGGCAAATGTTAACTTACTTGAATTAAATCTAAAATGCCAAGTTCACTTTCTGAAGAATCCACACAGAAGACAAAATATAGTGTTGCATAATGTCTATAAATCAGTTTGTTGTCAGATCCTCCAATTAATCTAAATGACAAAACAAAATTGAAATGTTATATGGAACAAAATGCAAAACATTTTTATTAGCTCAAATAAATTAACAATTTGTTTAAAAGACTTTTATAAAATGAAAAGTAATGGTGGAGTATCACTAAAGTGTAATTATTTCAGAAACTAATTAAGATGGCTGTTTTCTTTAGAAATGTCAAGTAAAAGAAGCTAGTGAAGTCAGTGCTCAATTTTAATTCATTATTTCATTCACAAAATTACTGAGTAACTACTATGTGCCAGACACCGATAGGAGCAATAAGTAAGTAAGAAAATTATCAAATATTGTAAAGTGCTACAGAGTCAAAACAGGACAATGTCATATTGAGGGTTTCACTACTTCAGATTGGGTATTCAGAAAGTGACATTCAGCCTGTGGTCTAATGGTTAGGAGCTAGACTTGAAAAACTTTAGAGAAAAGTGTTTCAGGTTAAGGTAACAACTTCAAGGAAGAAGAAGGCAGCCAGTGGACAAGAAAAGATTAGTAAACAAGAGATCAAAGAAACAGGCAGAAGTTAGATCATAGGGGATTTGTAAGTGCTTACTAGATTTAACTCCATAGGTCACAGTAAGTTACAGCTTAAGACTGATTACCAACTAGAAAACAAAACAAAACAAAACAAAGAATGACATTTCTTAAGTTTTAAATTTACCATTAATATTTCCTCCAAAGAACAACATTTTGAAATATAAATGCAAGGAAACTGAGCTAAGAGATATTCAGTTCTTTCATTAGATGCTTTTATTTATTTTCACTAGAATTTCAGCATTTTATAAATAATAACTTAGGAATCATTTCAGACACCTTATGTTTTTCTAAATAGTTTAACTATATTGTGGTTAATTTTACAGTAACATTCACCATCTCAAAAGACTTCTAGATTACATTAACTTAATTTAAAATTAAGATTAAAATGTATTGAAAGTTAAACAAACAATTTAACACAGGAAAATTGCACATATTTCTTAGTAAATTTAATACTAAACTCCCAAATTCCATAGAAGCAACTCTCTAAGTACCTCTGTGTCCTATGACAAAAGAAGTGATTGCTGAAAAGAATTAAGAATTTCTCCTATGCCAGTTTTCTAGAAAAGACATTTAAACGCATTTTAGATTCTGAGATTATATTTTGACTTATTAAAATTATTCTGAGTCAAAAAGAATAAAAATAGTAGGCTTCACTTCATCTTGAATCAGCAATTTAATATTTTCTTTTGCTTCGCTTTAAAAGAAAACCAAACTTTTGAAAAACATAAGTTTTAAGATAGCCAATAAAATACTTTTGAAAAACGTAAGTTTTAAGATAGCCAATAATGTTACTAAAAGAAACCAAATATATTGATAAGTATACAACATGCCTTTAAAAATAAAACTTTATCTTAATATAATTGGGATATAAATTTTTAGATGGCATATAATATACCATATAAAGCCACAAAATTTTAAATATCTTCTTAGTCCAAATCTCAGTTGAGAGGAGAAAACTAAGGCCCAAGAATTTGAGGGACATAAATAAGAAAAACAATTTTTTAGCAACAAAACTGTGACAATCCAGACATATCACTTTGTCACTGTTCCAATATTTACTTCCTACTTTTTATAAGGTTAGAAAATTTCAAGCCATAAAATTTCTAGTTCAAACAGTAGTTAGTCAATCAGGTTCTTACATGTCTACTACATGCAACGCATTGTTCTGGACAATAACTTTCCTGCAAGATAAAGTAAGAGGCTAAGATGAGAGAAAGTGATGATAATGGCAAAGACAATGAAACCATACAGTGGTTTAAGAGATAGAGAAAAGTAAAATTCAGAAAGAGAAGTAGGCACAGTGTATCTCAGCCATTAAAGTAGAAGACTCAGCTAGGCATGGTACCATGGACCTGTAAACTAGCACTTACAAGGCTGAGACAAGAGAATCTTTCGAGTCCACCAGTTGGAGGCAACCCTGGGCCACAAAGAGAGACCCTCATTTCATTAATTAACAAACCCTCAAGTTAATATACAACTTCCAAGTTATAAGTGTGCATTACACATTTATGTATAATATGATAGATAACCTTAAAAAATTCAAGTAAACTTTCTACATGATAAATTTATGATCGAAAAAGAACAGGTTCTGTTACCTGAACAATTTTTTCATAACCCACATCATATAGATTAAAATATGGAAAAGTCTAGATTTCTCTGACTAATCTTTGATGATTCATAATGATACTCATTTAAAGTTTAGTTTTAATTTTCAATAAGGAAATACTTTAAGTGTATTAATTATATAAACAGGAGAGGAAATATTTATGAAAATATGAGATTAAAGTGTTTTCATAGAATCCACAATTTCAAAGTATTTACTGTTGGGCATGGTGGCACACACCTATTAATCCCAGCACCTGACAGGCTGAGGCAGGAGGATCACTGAGAGTTTGAGGCCAGCCAGAGCTATATAGTGAGTTCAAAGCCATCCTGAACTACATTGCAAGACTGTCTCAACCCTTCCCCCAAAACAGTATTTATTTATTTATAATATTAGAGCCAGGCACATGGGGACACACACCAATAATCCCAGAACTAGGAAAGCCAAGGCAGGAGGACTGCTGACGTTCAGACAGCCTGGGCTGTATGGTAAATTCAAGGCCACCCTGAACTATACACAGAAAGACCTTATTTCAAAAAATTAAAGAAATATGACAATAATTCTTATTCATCTTAAAGGTAGAAAAATCTATTAGATGGATTTAAATTTATACTATAGGTATGTAGTAGATGCAAAGATGTATTTGAAAAACAGGAATTTACTCATTAAATAAATTAATAACAAGATATAAACTAAATTTTTATGAACATCCTAAGAAATACCGCACTGTTAAAAGAATGAGATTACTGTGTTTATAGAAAAAACTTTAAAAAATACTAAGAAAAAGAAACAAGATGTAAGTAAGCATATAGGGTGATCTCATACATTAAATGGATTAAAGTTATACTTTTATGTTAATAAATGCAAAATAAATTTTCTAGAAGGATACACAAGAAACTGGGAAAAAAGACTAAGGTTGGGACAGGGAGATTCATTTAATATTCTGTATTTCTTTACAATGTTTGAGTTTTTACCATATAAATATACCACCAATACATAAAATTCTCTTAAAACTTTTTTAGGAAGACTGCATAGCTTTAAAAAAAAAAATCTGTGAACTAGATTTATAGCTTATAACATAGGTGACAACTCACCTAATCCAATTAACTGAAATTTTTAAAACTATAAATGGACTAAATAGTATATATTTTAATCAGCTAGTATAAATTAGAAATGTCTATGAAATATTTTACTTACAATCCTCCTTCTAGGAAATTACAAACATTTTCATCTCTCTTAGATACCAAATGGAAAGTCTCCCTGATGATTTGTTGTTGTGTATCTTCACTCTGAGAAAGAATAATTCATATACATTAGGATTAATTTTATGTTTAAAATCATTTTTAGAATTTTTAAAAATAAAAGGCAGTAATATCAGTCTAGTAAATCCATCTAAGAGAAGTGTCCTTGTAGAACTGACTTACATTATACTTTACAGGAGCAAAACATGACATTTTTCTAATGAAAAAGAAAAAAAATCAACATCTTAACAATAAAAGTTAACTTATTTCTAAGTTTTAAAGCCAACAAGAAAAAAAAAAACAGATGAATTTCACACACTAGTAGTCAAAGTCCACTGATTTACAAATGAATAAAGTGAAGCAGAGACAAAAAATTCATGTTTTTAATCTATATTTGAAGGAATAATACAGAAGTTTGTAGCTTACAATTAAGTTTAACCCTTATTAAATGAAGACTGAGCTTAAGAGTTCATCTTACTCATCATCTTTGTATAAGTATGACCTAAAATCAAGATTGTTTCAGTTATTTATACCAAAAGTGTACTGATAAATTTAATTATTAAAAAAGGAATTATTTCAATAAACATTAAATTTACATTCCAGTAAAAACAATTGGCTTGCCAAATATATAAATAAATAAATAATAAAATTAGGCAAAATCATGAAGAGGGAGAAATTAACTTAGATACAAATTTTAAAAACAGTAAGATAGCTCCACGAGTGCTGCATGACAATATCCAATGTTCATAAAACATATGGAACCAAAACAAACTTTTATCCCAGCAGTGGGAGGGTAATAATAGTACAATCACTTGGGAAAAGTTTCATTAACTAGCATTTTACTCCTAGATAATAGTCTAAATAATATGAAACCCGTTTTTGAAGATTAAAAAAACTGAATCTTGACAATTATAGATATAATAAACTTTTAACCTGTGCACCAAGAGATACACAGAATGTTCACAAAAGCATTGTTTGGAAAAGCTGGAAAAATACCTGAAAGCAATGTACATGTCCATCATTTACATAATTGTGGAATTATGGTATAGTATATAATGCAGTCATATTAAAAAGTTGAGTTATACTCGTAAATATGAATGATTCTCAAAATCTTAATGTGGAAAAGACAATCTTAGCACAGTGTGCCATGACAAAATACCTTAGACTGGGTGGGTTAAATAAAAAATTTACATTCTATCAATTCTGGAAGCTAGATTCCAAGATCAAGGTACAGTATAGTCACTGCTGATGAAGGACTCTCCTCTTACCGAGTAGATGACAGTCTTTATCTACACATGGCAAGGGGAGGGGCAAAAGCAACTTCTTCAATATGTCTCCTTGTAAGGTCATTAATCTTATCAAGAGGGTTGCACAGTATGACATCATCTAAACTTATTTTCCAAAGACCCTATTTCTGAATACCATTATACTGAGAGCCGGGGCACCAACATATGAATTTTGGGAAGACTCAATTTAGTTCACAGCAGAAGTAGAACAAGCTAATACCAAAATGATACATAACCATTCCATTTAAATAAAATTCAAATTAATCAAAACTAAACAATATATTATTTAATGACATGTATTTTAGGTGAAAAAAAAAGAAACTATAAAGAAAAATCAAAGGAATGAATAATGAAGTTTGAAAAACTAGTTTTACAAAAATTTTATTACCTAACTATATTACAATTAGCTTCAAAAAAAATCAATTAAAGGGACGTTCTCTAAAAAAAAAAAAAAATTCCCCAACAGCTTACCAAATTGGGAGAGGAAAACTAAAACTCTTTTCAAAGATGACATGATACCAAAATATCCTTAAAAAAACACTAAAAAACTAAGAGAGGTACTAAGTAAATTTAGAGAAGTGAAAACATACAAATACAGTATAACCAAAAAAATCCAGTTTTTGTATACATTAGCAACCAAAAAATATTAAGAAAAAATCCCATTCAGAATATTAAAAAAAAATTTATTTGAAATAAATACAACCAAAGATAGGCAAGACTTGCACACTGAAAACTAGAAAATATCAATTCATTTTATAAGGGTAATTTAACATTCATACTAGATTAGACAAGAAAGGTCTGACAAGGGAAAATTACAGGCCAGTCTCACTAAAAAATAAAATTTATTTTTACAGAAAGTAACACATCATGATCAATGTGCACTTATTCTATTAATGCCAGTCTGGTTTAATATTAGAAAACTGACTAATGTAATTTTTTACATTAACAGAATATCAATGTTAGCATGTGTACATTAAACTGTGGCTTATTCATGCATGGAACATTAAACAGGAATAAAAATAAATAATTACAGCTGGATATAATACCAAGAATAAAACTCAAAAACTACTGAATAATTTTTTTAAGAAAATCAAATCCCTTCAAAATATATTTACTATCTTTTTTTGAGGGGGGATAATGGGAATCGAATTCAGGCCCTTGTGCTTTCAAGGCAGGCAGCGGAACCACTAAGCCAAATCCCCAGCCCTATCATTATTCTTTTTTTAAGTTCAAAAACACAGAACAACAGTAAATTAAGAACAAAAAATATGTAGTAAAACAAGACAACTGATTTTAAAATTCAGTGAGGTTGCCAGGGATTTAGTTCAGTGGTGCCACCACCTGCCTCACAAGTGGAAGGTCCTGAGTTCAATCCCTGCTACAAAAAAAATAAATAAGTAAAATAAAATTCAGTGAGGTTAAGGGTAGAGCTCCGTGGTAGAACATTTGCTTAGCCCATGCAAGGAGGCCCAGGTTTGATTACCAGCCCCCTCCAATAAAAATAAATTAGGATGTTGGTTATCTCTGAGTAGAGAGGGAAACAAGAGAGACTTCAAAGTACAGTATTTGTAACTTTTAAAATACATACTGTAGTATGTAGTAGGATATTACTTATAAATATCTAAGTATTTTATATCTATTCATTGTTTCACAGAACACTGAAAGGAGAGAAAAAGCACTGTATAAGACAGCAGCTCTCTTTCTCATATCTGCTTTACTGTTTCCTACCCAACTCTTTCCAGCCTTCATCTAGAGCTAAATGATGTTCCTTGGATAATGTTAACTACTCTTGAGGTTTCAACCATGTTACCATGAAGCTAAATTTTCTTATCTTACATTTTCAGTGTCTAAAAGAAGTTTGTCTTCTTTTCTGAATTGCTGACAGGTATTTCTAGGTTTGAAAATGGACATTTCTATTCGTATTCTGCAAAGTTATATAAAAACCTTGCATGTTGAAGACCAAAACATTACAATTTTCCTAAAGCATAATCTTAACATATTTCCAGTCCCAGTAAATGTCATCACTATTCATCCCAGACTCTTATATAAGAAATCTTAACTATCTCCTTTCTTACTTCCAAAAATTTGTTAATTCTACTAAATAAATAAGCTGAATTCAAAGACATCATCTCAACTGAGATTCTTATTATGAGGAAACCAAAAGCCCCAACAAAATGTTTTCTCTGCCACTTGTCTACCTATTCAATTGCCCTATACCTCCTTAAAAACAAACAGTATTTGTTACTTCTTTTCTTAAAGACCTACACTGCCTACATGACCTAAAATATATAAACTTTCTAATAGACTGCAAAATATCCCCCCGAATCTAAATCGGACCCACCTGTGACATTTCCTCATTTATTTCTCTACTTTTATACAATCTGCTCCAGCCACCCTGAATTTTTCACCATTTACTTCTATCTTACAACAACCTCTGACTCTATCCTTTAGTAACACCCTTTTTAGGATAAAATTCAAACATTATTACTTTTATGAAATTTTTTTTTTTTTTAGTCTCAGGAAAAAAAAAGCCCCTTCCTTCCTGTTTCCTTGGTACTATTCCTATTAAATAATTAAAAGAATATGCTCAGGCTGGGCGTGGCAGATCACACCTGTAATCCCAGAACTCAGGAAGCTGAGGCAGGAGGATCACTGTGAGTTTAAAACCAGCCTGGGCTACCTAGTAAATTCCAGGTCAGTATGAACTACATAGTGAGACCCTGCCTCAAAACAACAACAAAAAAAGAATATGCTCAAATTCATTCTATAGACTCTAAATTCTAACATAGGGAACTAAGATATATATCTGATATGCTAAGAGAAGCATACTGTGACACACTAAAATTAGCTAGGCATGGTGGCCCATGTCTGCAATACCAGTTCTCTGGAAGGCTGAACCATAAGGATCACAAGTTCAAGTCTGAACCTGGCCTTGGGGATTATCTCAGCATGAATGTCCTGTGTTCAAATCCCAGTACAGAGAGACAGAGGTCTCAGTGACAGCTGGTTCTAATACAGAAGAATTTCCGTAATGAAAGAACCCATCAAGTACCCCAAACAGTGAATGAAAACAGACTCATAGGTAGGATCTGTGAAACTTTTAGAAACTGCAAGTAAGAAATTTTTCTGGTAAGTAAAATCAGGTTGTACCTAAAAAAATAAGTATCAGAACTGCTACAGACTTTTTTATAGCAGCATTGGAAACTAAAATTTAATGGAGCAATACAATCATAATTCTGAGGAAAAATTATTTCTGATCTACAATTTTATATGCAATCAATACTTATAACAAGATTTTAAAGTTTTTTAGACAAACAAGGTCTCATAAAAACCATCTCCCAGAACTTTTTCTCAAGAAGCTACTGGTTCTGCCATGATAATATAACAAACCATAAAATCAAGCAGTTGAACAGCCAACATAGGAAGCCAACAAAATAAAGATTCCAGTATGACTGGCATATATTAGTATAGATGGGTCCTGGTCAAAAGATTTCAGAAGAGTTTTCTTCAGGAATTTGAAACAAATGGTGTCATACCTGGCTAGAAAGAAACCTTCAGAGCAAACATGCCATTCTGAGTAAACAGAACAGACGGCTATAAAGAAAATTTAGGACTAAGTATACAATCTCCTTAGAGATTGGAGAGCCCAGTATTAGACCATCCTTAGATCCTCAACCATACACATTCCACTTCAGATTCCTTAGTCCCTTCTCCTTTCCTCTATAAACTTAAATTATAGCTGCTGAAATCATTCAGAGTCTC